AAGCCCTAAACCAACTGAAGGACTAAACCCTAAACCCTAAACCCCTAAACCAACTGAAGGACTAAACCCTAAACCCTAAACCCTAAGCCCTAAACCAACTGAACGACTAAACCCTAAACCCTAAACCCCTAAACCAACTGAAGGACTAAACCCTAAACCCTAAACCCCCAAACCCCTAAACCCTAAACCCTAAACCCTAAACCCTAAACCCCTAAACCCAGTGTTTCGGGCTCGGGTCGACTTCTGTGGGCGAGCCGCCAGTCGAAACGAAGAGACCGGCAGGTCGCGTTCCTGCGCCCGAACTTGTGGCAAGCCGACTGAATCTTTCCTTAAGGGTCCGAAGGACCCAATAATCAGGTCAGTTTAGGGTTTAGGGTTTAGGGTTTAGGGTTTAGGGCGGTACATTGGTTGCGGATAGTAGTTATTTAGGTTACTATTTGGGAGAGTATATGATTATTAGGTACTCGGACCCTTAGGGTTTGGTATCACATATAAATGTATACACATACATGCATACATATAGTTAATATATAAATCGATACACGTAGTTTTCATGAGTAAGTAAGTAAGTAAGTAAGTAAGTAAGTGAGTGAGTGAGTGAGTAAGTAAGTAAGTAAGTGAGTAAGTAAGTTCCGGCTGACCTCCCTGAACAATGTGTGCCGTAGATTCTCCGGCCGAGCCCTCGCAGTTCTCAAGACCATGCTTTCAATGTAGCTGTTTATATTTCATTTCACGCCACAAAAACCATAAAATAGAAATCCCATACCCTACCCCGCAAGCCACAAAATCGCAAAACCCCAAACCCCTTATGAAACCCTTATAAAGCCCAGAAAGGAACCCAGAAGGGAACCCGAGACTCTAGACCCATGATAAAGCCCACGTATAGAAAGGAGCCCCAAATCCGACCGTCATAAACTACTTACTTCTGTGTAGGGTCTCATCATAAACTTTCATTTAGGTAGTTATCTATATTAGGGTCCCTTTTAGGATCCGCTTTATGACGGTGCCGTACTATATTGGGGACCTGAGAAGGGACCCTAATTTAGAGAACTACCCACTTCGAGTTTACAGCAAGCCTACAAAAAGGAAGCCTCCGAGATCTCGGTGCGCAGCTCCGCGACCGTTATGGAGCCACCAGGCCTCCAACGGTGTAGGTTTTGGGGCTTAAGGGTTTAAGGTTTAGGGGGTTTAGGGTTTAGAGTTTAAGGTTCAAGG